GAATTTTGAAGAAATTTCGATGCTTTTTTACACTAAATATTTTAATTAAAAGGTTTTGCAAATTTCCAATTTTTTCACTAAAATTTTTGAATCTTTCAACCTTTTAACTTTCATAAATTTCTATTAATAAAAATTGTAAATTTTTATGCCTATAATTTTTGCATATTTTATTTTTTCACTGAAATTATTAAAGGCTTTTTAACCAATCAAAACTACTCTTTAATTATTATTTTTAATTTTTATACCTCAAATTTGTTAACATTTAATTTTTTTATACTGAATTTTGCAATTTTTAAATTTTTCTATTAATATTTTTGATTTTATAAAGTTGATACTTTAGATAAATCTCTAGTTTATTATATCTGTTTTGTATATTCAGTAAACTTTAATGAAGCTTACATTTTTTTTACATTATTATTTATACCAGTTTTTAATAATTATTGAAACTTTTGTATATATATAAATATTTTTATTTTGTATTGAATTCCAATTTTTTTAAAATATCAGTAAAAATTTTGAATTATTTTTATATTTAAAAATATTTTAACTTAAGAAGATATTTTTTAATGAAAACTTTAGTACGTTATTTATAAATAAACTGCAACTATTTACTATGAAACTGGACAATTATATTTATTTTAAAAAAATCAGAAAAGTATAAAAATTTCACTAAAATATTGTAGTTTTTATTAATATTTGTTATTCATTGTTTTTTATGTATATAATTTTAATAATCTTAATTTTTTATAAAAAATTAATATATATTAATAAAAAAATTGCAAAAATTTTACATTATTTTTATATACATCCCAAAACTGGCCAAAAAATTTTTTATTCTATAATGAAATGAAAATTATGGAACTTGGAAACTATTTTATAAGACTCTTCCACTTAAAAAACTTTAATACTGATATGCGTAAATGTTTATTTTTTTGTATACTAATTTTTATAAATAAAAAAGTTTCATTAAAAAAATTTTACACTATTTTTATACACACTTGAAACCTGGCCAATCTTTTTTTAAAAATTATGAAAACCTATTCACTAACTTTTTTTTTAAAAAAAAATTATACAAAATATAAAATTTTTCAATGCTAAGTAATAATTTTAAAAAATGCAAAATTTTTACAAATTTTTTAATTAGTGCAATTGACCAATTATATTTATTTTTTTAAAAAACATGAGAACGAATTTATTCACCCAAAGATAGTTATAAAAAGATTTGTTAATATTCGTAATGTTTTTTTTCTATTAAAGAAAAAATTTATAAATAAAATTTTTTATTAATCAAATTCATTAGATTTTTTAATGTTTGCTAGATATTTTTACTGAAGTTTTATTATGTATATATTTGTGTCTTGATACTTTAAAATAATTCATTATTAATATATAAAGTATTTATCTCAATGCGAATGGAAATTGAGAAAAAGTTCTCAAGCGAAAAGGTTTGTATTCTACAATTTTTTCAATCTAATAAATATCTTAAATATTATCTTTGACTTTTATTTTTGTGTTTATTGGACAGCTTACTATTAGCCATTAATATTCTAAATATTAAACAATATATTATAAAATTCTATTTTAAATGAAATATATTTTCAACAATTTTTATTTAAAACGCAGAGTATTAATTGGTCAACAATTTCCTTTTTAATAAATCGATAAGTATATCTAGTAAATATTTAATGTGATTGGTTTTTCATATAATTTTTCTAACCAATTAACCCATTTGTCATTATGTTCTTAACCTTTTTCTCATGGATTTTTATAGGATGCAGTCTACTCGCTTCTGAACAGTTTTGTTTTTCTCCGGTTTTTAGTGACTTGCATTTTAAACCCCAAAAAGTTTGGAGTTTGTTTGTCCATCTCAGACGTACATTTCATTATATTGCTTGTCATTCTTTTATCACCACTTCCATTGTATTTATGTTTTTTCTATCTTTATTAATTATATATATATATATATTATTAGTTATAAAAAAAAGCTTTCTTTTGTAAATAGTTTTTTTTGATTATATCTTTATTTTTTGTCATTTTTTAATACAATTTTTAGCAAATTTTTCTTTACAGTCGTGCATTTTGTATAAATATAAACATGTGGACTTTTTTTCAATTTTCATAAAATTAATTTTTTTTTAATTTTATTCTCTGAACAATTTTTTTTATCAGTATTAGTAAAACTTTTTTCTGATGGTACTTTATCTGACAAAAGTTTATAAAAAGTTTTTTATAACTTTTTTATACGCTTCAAAGTTTTTTTTATTTATTGAAACTTTTTATATTTATTTTGTTCAAAATAAAATTTTATTTAAAACAGTTTTTAAAGAGTAGCTCACAAAAAAATTTCACTAAAAAATAAAAGTACTCTATTACTACCGCGTTAAAATTATAAGAAACAAAAGCTTTATAAATTTAAGAAATAATTTAAAATTAATGACTGGTAGTTTTTTACACCTTTGAGCCAAAGATGTGACCCTTGTAAGCATTTTCGGGGTTTTTTTTTGAAAATAATTAAGTAAAATTATTAGAAGTGCACTAGAAATTTAAAGAAAACAAAACAGGAATTAATTATAAGCTTTCTTATTGGATATTCGCACTTGTGAACCAATAGCCTAACCCGTTATCAGCACTTGAACGCTTTTGTAATATAAACCAAAATAATAATTAATAAATATATAAATAAATAAAAAATAAGTAACTTTAAGCTCGAACTTGAATAAAAATTCCAAAATTTTTCCAGTTACTACTATTTTAGTAATTTTTTAATATTCTTTTATTATTATACTAATTTTTTGTTTAGAAGATTTTTTAACTATTATTTTACTATTTTACTAGTTTTTTCCTTTTTTTATATTCTTCCCTTATTATTATCGTACTGTTTTTATTATTCTTTACAACTTTTTATTACGGTTATATTTTACTGTTTCATTTATTCTTTTCTCTATTATTATTTTACATTTTTTTCATTTCTATTTATTACTTAACTTTTTTTTTCGATATACTTATATTTCAATATAAAAGTTTTTATTTTTAAAAATATTTTCTTTTTTTTCTAAATAATTAATTTATTAGTTCATTGTTTACTATACATAAATATATATATTTATTATTATTATTCTATTTATTACGTTTTACTTTAGTATCGTGAATTTATATCTTTTTTTTCGATATGAAGTCAAAAGAAATTCTCAAGCGGCTTTATATAAATTTTTTTTTAAGTAACAAAAAGTAATGAAATTAGTTTAATAAAAAAATATAGTTTAATAAAAAATGGATGTATAAGAAATATATATCATTATTGTAATTATTATAAACTTTATTGCTATTTATTATTCCTTTTTATTATGATTTCATTATAATATTTTTTTAAAAATATTTTTTTTCGTTATAAACGATATAAATACAAGGAGAACTGCAAATAATATTTTCTTTTAAACTTTTTATAAAGGATATTTTATTATTTTTATTAAAAAGTTTTCAACATTATAATTTTCTTTTCTTTTTTATCATTTGTATTAAAATCTTTTTACTATTCTCTTTTATTTAAAGGACAAACTGAAACTTGCCGCACGGAATTTGGAGCTGATAGGCAAAACTTTACAGGTTATACATTATTTTTTGGGGGCTCGAAAAAATTTTCTCGGTCATTTTTTGGCGCCAATATTTAGGGGATAGTCAATATGCTTCCGATGGGCTTGAAGGAGGCTTATTTGGGGGTTCTGAATCCCCTCGCAGCTCGGCTAATACCAGAAATGAAACTGTTTTTTTTATACTTTGCTTGTTATTGAGTAATTATTATAATAAAAGTAAGAAAATAACAGTAAAAAGTAACTTCTAATTAATATTAATATTAATAGAATATTTATAATATTAAAAGTAATTTATGTATAATATTTATAATTAAATACATTAAACTTAAATAATGTAAAAATGCAACTTTATATAATAATAATAAATATTAATAAGTAAATTTCATTTAATTTTTTTTTCAAGTGTAAATAATAGGAAAAAGTGGAATTTATATAATAATGATAATAATAAATAAGTAAATTATATATAATAATAAGTAAATAGAATGTAATAATGTAATAAATAGGAAAAAGTGAGCCTCCCCTAATAATATATATATAACAAAAATATAAGAAAGCAATGTTATTAAAAAAGTTTGTTTATATTTTTCTTAAGATGTTATAAAGAATTTGTATATTTCCGAATTATTTATGATATTTTAAAGTATTTCCTTTAAATTTTATATATATTTTGTATATTCTTTTATTTTTTATTTATTTTGTAAAAGTTTTTCTTTTGAGTATTTTTATATGTATTTTTTATATTTTGTATATATGGATTATTTATTTCTCTTTTAAATTTATAAATATTTCAAGTATTATACTTTTCTTTTAAATTTTTTTTATTTTTTTATATATACGGGAGTTTATACTTTTTCTATTCATTTTTTTATGTATTTTTATGTTTTTGAATAATTTCGTATATTTTAAATTTTTTCTATACATAATTTACGTAGTTTTTATTATTCTATTTATATTTTTTACTTTTTTTATTTTAATTTTGCAAATAAAATAAACTTCTATTACTTTTTTAAACTCTTAAACAGGATTCTTCTTTTATATTTCCTATAACTTTTTTTGACACACTTACTTTTGTATAGTTTGGATATTTTTATTTTCTTTCGAGTGTATTTCTTTATTTATAATATTTTTATAGATGTAATTATATTTAATTTTTTTAAAATTTTATAACAAATAAATATATTTAAGATGATAAGAAACTATTTAATAAACTTTTTTTTTATTTCTTTAATATTCTTTTAATATTAAAGAATTTTTCTTTTATTATTTCCAACATTTTTTATTATCAATATTTTATTTTTTTTTATTTTATAATTTTATTATCTTATTTATTTAATTATTCTTATGAAATATTTATACATTTTATGTTTTTTATTTTATTATTAATATCATAAATTATAATTTATTTCTTATAATAATTATTATTAAAAAATATTTTTATTTAAACATTTTTATTTTTATTATAATTAATAAAAATATTTATTTTGTTTTCTTTATTAATACTTAAAGTTATTTTAATATTATTATTTTATTTTTTTTCAATATTCTAACATTTTAGTTTTAATTATATTTACTATTTAATATAAAAAAATTTATTTTTATTAATATTCTAAATTAATTTATATAATGTTTTATTATATAATTTTTTTTACTTCTTTTTTAATATTTTATTTTTTATATAAAAATTCTTTTTATTTCTATCATTTTTATTATTATAATTTTTAATATAATTTTTTATAGCATATTTTTAATATTTATCAATTATTATAACATTTTATATTCTATATTATTTTATTATTATTTCATTATAACTATTATTATAAAAAATATATATTAAATTTTTATTAGTATTATAAATTATTGTAATGTTTCATTTTTTTTTATTTCAGTTATTATTAGTAATATTATTTTATTTTTTTCATTGATATTTAAGTTATTTTATTTTTATATATATTAAATATAAATAAAATAAAATTTAATAAAAAGTTTTTAATAGTAATTACTGATCAGTAATCCATTGTTTCTTGTAAATAAATCTTAACAAATATTATAAATTTTCGTAGAAAATTATAATTTTTATATATAAAAAGTTGTATAAAAATAGAAATATTATATTTATTAGCATTAATAATAAAAATGATTTTTTTTGATTATAATAAAAACTTTATATATTAAAAAAATATAATTTTTATTTAATGGTTATTGTACTTTTTATTATAAAAAATATATAATAATGATGATAATAACTTTTTATATAAAAAATAACACGTTAAAAATTTTATATAGAACTTCTTTTACTTTTCTATAATAATAATGATAAAACTTTTTATATATATAATAATATTAAAAAAAAGTATTCATATTAATTATAATACTGCTTTATAATAATAATGATAATTACTTTTTATATATACATATAACATAAATAAAAAATTTTATATATAGTAATTATTATACTGTTTATAATAATAATAATAACTTGAAATATGTAAAAGTGATATAAATGAAAAATTTTATTTAAAGTAATCTATACTCTTTTTTTATAATAAAATTATATGATAATAACTTTTTCTGTAAAAAATAATATTAATTATGAATTTTATTTATAACTATTATTATACTTTTCTTTTATACTTTTCTGTATAAAAATAATATTAATTATAAATTTTATTATAATAATTATTATACTTTTTTATTAAACAATATATATAATAACTTTTTTTTTAAAAAAATATAAATAAAAAGTTTTTTCATAATTATACTTTTTATTATAATAAAAATAAGTTTATTGTATCAAAATAATAACTTTGTGCGTAAAATTTTTAAATACTTAAGGAAGATTTTATTTTTACAAATTAACTATTTTATAATAAAAAAGTTTATAAATAATAAAAACTTTTAGTGTCACCGAATAATCTTTAAAATTTTATTTATAATAAATTAATATACATTTATTAAATTTTTAATAAATTTGTTTAAAAAACCAGTGAAGTCTTTAGGAATTTTTTTTTAAAGGGTGTAATAGATTACCAATATAATAAATTTTTGTATATAAAAAAATATATATATACACGTAATTTTTACTTATAATTATTGTCATACTTATTTATTATATAATATAATATAATATTAATAATAATAACTTTTTTTATATAAAAAATAAAATAAATTAAGTTTATTTGTAACATTATTGTTTTACTTTTTTTTAAATTTATAATTGTTTTGGTATAAAAAGAATAACTAATGAAGTTTTTATTAACATTGAGTATATTTATTATTGTGAGAAAATTTTAATATGATGATAACCTTCTCTGTATAAAAGTGATAAATAAATAAAAAAAGTTTTATTTAGAATAAGATTTATACTTTTTTATTATATAAATTTTATATATAATTATAACTTTTTTTATATAAAAGTAATAAAAAAGTTTTTTATAATAATCTTAGAACTTTTTTATTTTAAAAAAGTTCATTTGTTGATGATAACAACTTTTTGGGTAAAATATAATAAATACTAAAAAGTTTTTATTTATAACTTTTAATTTATTATTATTAAAAATTCAGATAGTAATGATAATAATTATAATTTTTTTATAAAGTTTTATTGATAGAATTTCCACGGATCACGGCAATACTAAGATGCCATCGCTGGAGGTAAGTGTCCTTTTTTTAAAAAAAATTTACGAATAGCTCATTGGCTGGTGTAATATAATTAAAGAATCTCATTTGTCCGTGCAATACAATTGAAAAAGTGAAAGTCGGCGTTCAAGATGGCGGTTGGTTAAATTATTTTTATAAATACTTTGATTCGCGAATCATTTTTTATAATTTATATAGCCAAAAATAATTTTTTCATTCATATTTCTAAATTTTGTATTTTTTTATTTATAAATATAAAAGTTAATATTTTTTTTATATTATTTCTTTAATATTATTTTTTATTTTTATTATAATAAATATTTATTATATTATTTTTTACTTTTAATACATTTTATATAATAAATATTCAATATTTCTTATTTTATTATATTAATTTTTGTTTACATATTCGTTATATATATTTATTATTTTTCAGAATATATATTAATATTTATATCTTTATATTAAAATTTTAACTTAAAAATTTTTTCTATGTTTTCTTATTTTTTAAATTTTTAAAGGTTTGCTTTTTATTTTTTTTCTGTTCATTATTATTCTTAATTCACAAACGTGACTTGCTTCAATACTTTTTGTTATTTTTTTTCTTAGAAATTTTTATTTTAATTAACTTTATAATTATAATTATTAATTTCCTTTTAAATTTTTATTATATTAATATACTATTTCCAATTGTTATATATAATCTTTTATTATTATACTTAACCGAAAATAAATTTTAATTTTTATGATTGCTATTATTATTACCTTTTTTGTTACTTTTTTCATTATTATTATATTTTAATTGTTATAATCTTTTAATACATTTATTAAGTATAAATTATTATTTACTTTCTGCTATTAACTTTCAATATTATAATAATTATTATATTTGTTACTTTTTTTTACTGTATTTTTATTATATTTATTACTAATATTAAAATATTTTTTTATTATATATAAAAAGTTGTATATTTAACTAATTTCTGCTATTAATTCTAATTATTATTACTATTATTATTTTATTTAATACTTTTTTTTTATATTTTTATTTGTTATTAACTATTTTATTATATTTATTAAAATTATTTGAGATTTTTACTTTTTGATATTTTTTTATTTTACTATTTTTATTTTTATAGTTAGTACATTTTTAGTATTTTTATTATCATACTTTTAATTCTTATTAACTTTTTTACTATATTAATGAAAAATATTTTTTATATAAAATTTATTTAAAGTTTTAACCTTCTGATATTCATTTTTATTATATTATCATATTAGCACTTTATCCTTTTTTTCAGTGTAATTAATTTTTTTTATTATATTTAAAAAATACCGTTTTGATTATAAAATTTTTTTATGATTTAATATTTCTGCTATTCACTTTTTATTATGTTTTTATATATTTATTACTTTTTTGTATTACTATTACATTTTAATTGTTACTAACTTTTTTTTATTATACTAACAAAAATAAGTTTTGAATTTTATAGTATACTCACGATTATTACTTTCTTATTTATTTTCATAACTATTATTATTATATATTCAATATTTCTTAACTTTTTTTAATGATAAAAAACTAAAATTCGTCCAAGATATTTACTTTAGGCTTTATATCTTTATTAATTTTATTATTATTATTATTATTATTAAAATTATTATAACCTTTATCTCTTTAAATATATTTACGAAACTATTAGTATTATTTTGATATTGTCTTATTATAATAAAATTCATTATTAAAATAATTTATATAAATTTCCGTAATATTTTTAAAAATGAAAGAAACTTTTGCAAAACACCTTTCCAAACTTTCCCGGGTTTTCTATCAAGCACGCGAAAGAGTCTATGCAAGCAATATGGTTAGAAAAATTCCTGCCTTGAAGGGGCCGTTGAGCGATATTTTCAGTGTTCTTGAAAAAATTTACGGTAAAAGATTTTATATTTTTTTGTAAAGTCGATTTTGTTTAAAAATAAGGTCTTTTTTTTTTTTTTTTTTTAAATTTCTTTAAATGCGAATATGAAAAGTTGATTTTGTTATAGAAAAAATTTTCTTAAACTTTTTTGTTTCTTTAATTCTCTTCATCGTAATTGTTGAAAGTTTGATTTGTTAAAAAATTTAAATTAAAAATTGTTATTTTACTATTTTTTAATTGAATATAAAAAGTTAATTTTATTTTATTATAAAATTTAATTTCTTTTTTACTTTTTGCTAAAATCTTTTAATTTTCTTAAAAGGCGAGTATATAAATTTGAACTTGTTAAAAATTCAAAATATATGTTTAAATAATATTTTCAAAATATTAAACAATTAGTTTTGTTATAAAACTTAAAAGAAAAAAAAAAAAAGTTCAGTAAAAAAATTTAAAAAAAATTTTTTTTTTCGATTCTTAGTTTTTCATTGTAATTCTTGAAAGATAAATTTGTTATGAAATTTAACTAAAATTTTAGATTTTCTTTTTTTATATTAATTTTTATATTGATTTTTTTTAAGAAGAATATATTTCATTATAAAAAAAGTTTCTATTTTTTTCTTAATCCCTAGAATTTCTTTAAATTTATTTAATTCCAAAAAGTTTAATGTTATATAATTCAAAGTTTATTTAAATTATTATTATATATATATATATATATTAGAATGGAATAATAAAAGTTAATTTAATTAAAAATAAGAGAGTTTTTGTTTTTTTTAATTCTTTTAAAAATTTATTTTATTATAAAATTTGAAAGTAAAAGTTTTTTTATAAAATTTTACTTTTCCAAATTTTGCTTGTCAACGTAAATTTTATTATAATTATAAAAGTAGAAGTTTTTTTTTCTTCAATTTTCTTATTTCTTAAATTTTTTTAAATGATTATAAAAAAATTGATTTTATTATAAATTCTTTAAATAAAATTTATTTTTATTAATTTTTTTTTCAATTTTTTTCCTTAAATTTCCGAGATTGTTTAAAGTTGACGCTATATAAATTATAATTTTAAAATAATTTTTACTTTTTAAGAACTTTTAAAATTATTTTTCTTTCTTTAGCAAAATTTTTCATATTACAGTTATTTTTATTAAATATATACTTTATTATATTTTTATAAAATATTTTTACTTATTACTAAACTTTATAGTTTTCTTTAATTTTTTTTCTTTAAATTTTCTTTATTATAAAAAGTTGATTTTATTAATAAATATAAAATAAACATTTTTTAGAAGATATATAGTTTTAAAAATCTTGGTTAATAAAAAAAATAATTAAATATCTTTTATTTAAAAATCTTTACTGATTCAAAAAATATAATAAATAATTGACGAGTATTAAAATTTATTTAATACTTATTATTGTAAAATTCTTTTCTGATTACTAAAATATAAAAAATAGCTTTTTTTTTTGTCTTTACTAATTCAAAAAATAAAGAAAAATTAATATTATAAGTCTTTACAGATTCATAAAATAAAAATTAATAATGGGTTTTTTTAAATTATATTAAGAAAAAAAATTATTTGAGAAATCTTTACTGATTCATAAACTATAAAAAAGAACTAACGAGTTTATAATTTAAAAATAAATTTTATTTTTTTAAACCTTTACTGGTTCATAAATATAAAAAATAATAAACGAGTTTTGCAAATTTTTTATAATAATATTTTTAATTTTTTAAAAAACTTATTAATTCGCAGTATATTTATAATAAAGAGCGAAGTTATATATATATACTACTAACTAGTATAATCGTAACTTTAAAATTGTTAATACTCATAAAAAATAGTGAGTTTTATATTTAACCTGAATTTAATTTTTTCTTAAAATTAAAAATCTTAAAATTTAATTTATTCAATTATTTTAAAAGCTTTTCTAAATTAATTATTTTTACTAATTTACACAATTAGAAAAATAAGTAGATTTTTTAATAATATAAGTTTTTAATACACGGAAAAGCATTTTTTTTAACGATTTTAAAAAAACTTTTATTAAAATGTAGTAAATACTAGAAGAAAAAAATAACTTAATTTTAACTTGGAGACTACAATTTTAATTTTTTGTAGATTTACTTCCCTTTTAGATTAATAGAAACATTTTTATTAATTTTATCGTAATTGCTCTATTTATATTTGTTTTTGGTTTTTTTTTTAGTTATTAGTTTCTTTCAAAACAAGAAAGGGGTTTTACTAAAAATTAGTTTTAAAATAATAATTTACTTTGTAAATTTGCTTCACTTTGAAATTTATGGAAGTGTTTAAGGTGTTACTCCTACGTTGGCTAAATTTTTTTAAATAAACCAGCTTTTCAATCTTTTGATTATAAACTTTTAAAAAAATAAGGAAAAGTTAACTAAAATTTATTTTATAAATAATAATTTAAATTGTTTGTAACTATATTTTATATTATTAATTTTTACAACTATAATTCCTAATTTTTTTTAATAAAATTAGTTTCTTAATCTTTTATATTATTAATTTTAAAATAATTTACTACAAAAAGTTAAAGATTTTGAATGCAAGAGAGAATTCATAGTTGAAAGTACTTTTAAATTTTTCAATTATTTTTTTAAAAATTTATAGAAATCGTTAAAAAAGCATCATTAGCAATTTAATTAGAAAATATAATTTAATTTCACTATAAAAAGTAATTACAAACTGATTCACTTACAAGATTTATAAGTTTAAAATCGAAAAAAAAGTAATACCCAAATTTCAAACTTTTATTAAGTAATTCTAATTTTTACATAATATTTAACAGTAATTTTTTTAAATTCATTTTAAATTTTATTCAAGCATTTTAAAAAGAAATATTATAATTCAGTTACGCGAGTGAACTTTACTAACTTTAAAAAATTATTGAAGTAAAAAAAGAATAATTTATAAAAAATAATACATTTAATTTCGGTTTTAAATTTTTAAACTTATTTTTTTGCCTTAAAATTTAAATTCAATATATTTTCTTCGTTATAGATTAAAGCCAGGCCGTTAATTAATTTAGAATGAACATTAACTACGAAAATGAAAAGTTTCTCGCTGATAAATGTAAAAAGTAATAAAGATTTTCTGCTAATTTTTGAAAATCAATTTCAAAATTATTTATAAACGAGACAAAAACTTTTAATAAATTTAAAATTTCTCAATAAAAACGGTTTTCAATTTCGGAATCAAAAGCAAAAGTTGTAGAGCACATTTTGTCTATAAAAAGTTTTCCTTTGAGATGATCGTATTCATGCTAAAAAAATATTTTTTTTTAAAAAAAGTAAACAAAAAATTTTTTTATAAAAATATAAATCAGATTGGAATTTATGTAAAAAACATTTAATTAGAATTGGGAATTATATAAAAATAAATTTGAAAAAAATTGAAAATTGGTTTCAGATTAAAAAATTTTAAGTCAACATGAGAAATATGTAAAATAATTCACAATTTCATGTCGAATGGGATTTATTTAAAAAAAAATTTCGATTTGGGCTTTACATGAAAAATTATAAATTTATTTTTATGGGATTTTTATTAAAAAAATATTAAAAATTAAAAAAATTACTTGAATTATTCGAGCAGTTAAGCCGCTGGCCTTCCATTCACGAGCATTCAAATCTTCATCTGTATATTTTAGTAAAACTTTATTATAGCGAGGAACGACGGCGGAGCAGTTCGGCAAACTCAAGCACATCTCCCGCCGCAGGCAATAATTAGAATCAAGAGAGATCTCAAGATGATTATTATTTAAAAAATCTTTAATTTTATTATTGAGAATTTCCTTTTCTATAGTTTTGTTAGAAAAAGTGTTTAAAATGGGATCTAGTGTGGCGTTGATGCATATAGTCGTTGGAATGTTTTCTATTTGGCATAACCATAAAAATTAAAAATAATTATATTGTTTTCTAAAATTTTAACTAATATCAAAAAATTTTTGGTTGTCTCATAAATTAAAGCAAAAAGCATATTAATTATTAAGTTTTTCATATATTCTGTCAGAGTTGCATAATTTATTTGTTTTTTCATAAATAAATACAAAAAGTTTAATAAGAATAATTTATTTCTTTTCTTAGAAATCAAATCGGGAGTAGAAAAGTAGAATAAATTTATATTTGCGATAATATCATTTAAAATTAAAACCATAATAACGACTTTTCCCATGAAATAAATTACTTTGAATTTCCATTACAAACAAATTTATATTTAAACCGATTTGAGGAGCGGATAGCCCGCAAGCTTTGTGTTTTCTCAAAGTGTGCACCTACGTAAAATTTAATATTTGAAGTTTTTTATAAATGTTGACAAATTTTATATATCCAAATTTTTATATTTAATGTTAACTATTAATAAAATAGTTTTATAGTATAAGTTTAAATTTCTTTGTATAAGTTATTTTTCCCCCATTGTAATTCTACATATACTGAAGTAATTCTTTTATAATTTGCAGAAACAAATAATAGTTCAAAAGAACTAACTAAATTATATAAAATTAATTAAAATATAATAGTACAAGCAATATGTTGTTTAAGTAAAGCTACGCTGACTAGGATTACGACCAAAACATTGTAAAAAAAATTTAATAAACTAAATGAAATAGAAACTTAAACTTCGAAAAAAATAAACTACTGAAAAGTTAACTGACCATTTTGGAAATTAAATTTTGAAATTCGATGGTTTTAACTCGACTGATGTCAACATCTTTACAAGTTTGACGGAGTTTTGGACAGCCAGCAACGAGGATAGGATAAGAAGAAGGCGAAACAAAGGGTTGGAAATACTTAATGAAACTCATAGAAACGCTAATAAATAGCTTTAAACTTTAGAAAAAAAACTTAAGTGTAAAAGGAATTCTACACAAATAGTTATAAAAGGTTTTTACGTTAGTAAATGCTTTACTAAAGATGGCTTTTCCCAATGTTTTAATTATTTAACTTTTACTTGTTTCTGAACGGAAATAGTCTTCTGCGGATGTACCATAGGTTGAGTCCTTGTTTGTTATTGAGGTTTTTCAGTTGTGAAAGCTCGCTCCCTTTTTTCTTATTTCTACTTATCAAGTAAAAGGGCAACTCTACAGCAAAAAAACAATCTGTGCCCGCAGCACCCGTCTCTTATTCATAGAAAAAGCTCGCCTCCTAGAAAGCACCAGACGTGGCTTACCTGTCTATATGGAGAGGGCAAGAGTATTGTATTGTAATTTAACAGGTAGAAATATAAATTTTTTTTTACAGTTATCCTATTATTCCGAAATATTCTTCTTGATATCCTGAAGGTTCGAAATGTTCGTGAAACTTTGTTATACAGTGAGTAAGAAGACAATTAACAAAAGCTCCGGCAGGAGGTGGCCGTACAAAAAGACGTTTCTTACAAAGTATAGCGCCGTTGTTATTAAGTGCACCAAAATATAAGGAGAAATATAGAGCTAAAGCTAGTAATATGTAATATATTAATTTTATAAAAAAAAAAATTTTATTTTACAAAGTAAATTTGTAAAATATATATACATAAAAGTACAAAGTTTAAGAATGCAACGTGCTCGCATAATAGGGATCGGCTATATGTGTTAAATTAAAAAATATATCACGTGGTAGAACGTTTATTAAAAGCTTCTTTTAAAGGCGGGGGTGTAGGTCAGCCGTCTCACAGTTTTTTAAAGCGAGTATACTAGTGCAAGCGGCAGGCGTATCGACGTCGATGTATACACAATACATAGCACCGTTTTCCTGTTGCTTGCTTTTGCTGCACAGCAGCGTTAAATGTTAGGGCTCAATATCTTAATGGTTTTCTGCATCTTTAAGGAGCCGTCCGCTTCTTAACTTGTTAAGAAATATTTGACATTGGGTACCGCTTTAGCCTTTGCCACTACGTAATTCAGATAAAACATTACCTTCTAGCAAATATTGAGCAATATTCCAATAACAAAGTGAAACTAAAAACAATTTTTTTTGAGTTAAAACCATGAAAACCTTAGAAATTATTTTTGGGTTAAAACTATTATTACTCTCTGTTGAAATGTTTTTTCTAGTTCTAGTGCGGGTGCATTATAGTGATTAACTATAGCGCATCTAACATAACACTGAAAGAGAAGGCAAGATAAAGTTTTTACTGAATTAGCTTGCGCCAATACCAAAGGATGAAGCCTCTGGTTAAAGTAGACTTGTAGCCCTAAATAATAAACTTTGTTATGCTTTTTACTATTTTTTTAATTGATGGTAAGGGTCACTCTCTTACATACTTAAAAAAAAACGTGAAGGACTAACCTGCTTGGATTGCAAAAGATACGCAAAAATACTATACAGCACGATCCGCTATTTTAAGTAAGCGTTATTTCCTTTTCTAGTTGCCAATTTATTGAAAAATTTTATTTAATTGTAACATGCAACCACCACGACAGGCTGGGTGCTTCCCTTGGGGCAGCCTTGAAATTTTAGAACTATTGAAGATCAAAAGAGAAGCCAGGAGGGTAGTGCTTTTCCTTATTTAGGAATCTCTGTTAATAAAAACCACGCCACAACCGCTAATGGTTGGCGTACTGCCGGTTAATGCTGATTCTAAACTGCTGCCTTCGCGAACGATTTGAATTCAAGAGTTTTAGGATATTCCTAATAAAGTACCGGCTCTCACTCTTATAGCGTAAGAATATATTTAAACGACATAGTGAGAAGAGAGCCTATGATGTCTTAATTGGAGCCGCGCGAGTATTTATGTATATTGGGTTATAAAAATATTTGTAAGAGTGCCATTATATAGAAACCTCTTACAGTTATCACATTCTAGTACTATAACACACTAGCAGAGTAAACCACCAACTTCCTCTTAAAAAGCACTATATTCTAATTATAATCAATAAAAATAAACTGCTAATGGACAGGAAACGGTGCAATAGTATTTTACTCATGTTTATTATACTATTCTTGCCTCGAGAGCTTTCAGACACACTTATTGGCTAAATGAGATAGAGTATGGCATAACTTGGCTAATTCAACCAATTTTAGTTAGTTAGTTAGTTGTAAAAGCTCTGCCACATTTAGATAGAAAAATAGCTAACATCGGCAGGCATTGCTCAGTTTCATATGCGCAAGCTCGAAAATAACACACTGCGGCAGAACTCACCACTCTGGATCTAACACCATTTAACTTTTAGCCTAGCAGAGACGATGAGCTAGCACTTATAATACAGGTAAGATAGAACCTACTTTTAAGCTAAAGCCTCTACCATGTACTTTTTTGCCAGTTTAAAGCATATTTTCGATATCTAGGTTTACTCAGATAAAGACAGGAGAACATAGTAGCTGAAGCCTAGAGGCTTGTTAAGTAGGGATCAAAGTCACAAAGTAAAGGTTGGTTATTAACTACAATGGCCATTAGAGGACACCATTAGCTCAAAATCATGTAAGCTTCGTTAGTAGTAGAGGGTCCTCTAACGACCCCCCAAGTAAACGCATATCTCTTATACTAATATACTATATTGCGAAATACATATGTTAGACTTCCTTGCTAGCGCTGTTACCAAAGCGACCAAAGCGATCTTTGCTAATGTCATGATTTAAATTTAGGGTTTTCCCCTCAGCTGTGTAGGTGCTTCTTGGAGTGCGTGGAATGCTATTTGGCTCAAAATTTCCGCGGTACGTTCTAGCATGGTATACGTTTTAGTAAAGTAACGATTCATCATTGTTGCTAGGTTACTATCGTAAAGCGGCTGAAAAGCTCGGCCCTATATATGCGCGTCTGCCGCTGCGGTTATTACTCACTCTCAATTCGCCGATAGCAATATATAAGCTGAGCAAAAAGGTACCATTCGTAGATGGAACGCATGCTAGATGCAAATTCTACTTTTTCTGGCCATGTCGCCCTCTATGACTAACAATGGCCTTTGATCTAGAGCTAATGCTGCTCTCCTATGTCGTCTTAATTATTCAGAATAATAGGACTGAGTGTTAGCACGTACTGAGGAAAGTTTTGAGTGAAGCATCCATGTACGGAAAGATATGGTCTTAAAATGTAAAATGCAGTTGAAGCGGAAGCTTATGAACACTGCTATTTTCCGTGTCCTAGAGGCTTAGTTAGCGGTTGGTACCACTAGATGGTCAATATGCTATCTTTAGACCTTGAAAACGGTTTTTAAAGTTTCGATGATTACGCTGTATACTAGGCATTTCCTTCTGGTGTTAGCTATTCTCATATCTATATAAATCATAGCTTGTCAACCCGGCCGAATTCTCTTCGCACAGGCCCTTACTAACCTGTAAGCACAGCCTAAATTTTCGGACGTCTAGCCTGCAGAATGAATGATGACTATGACACCATTGTTCCTTCATGAGCCCTTACTGAGGTAAATTAAACTAAAATATATCGAATTGTACTTGAGATTGCAGTACTTTTTGATTAAGTAACCATGATAATGTTCGTGCTTGCTTGGTTTCTATATTTAGTACCCTTAAGAATAGTGTTACTTCCTAGTATATATATATACCGCAACTAGTCATTTTAAAATTATGAGGACTGAGGTTCAAACATTCAAATGTTAAGAATTTGGGCTATACAACAACTCTCCATTCCAGCATTACAATAAATGCATACAACCTTCATGGCGGGAGAAAAAAAACCATTTTTGCTTGCTTATAATTATAGTATGCTTCTCAAGGATTTCTACACCAAAGACCAAAAAAGTCCTACAACTGTGCTCTCAAAAGGCGAATTTTTTGCTTTAATAAGTCGCGAGGAAATCATGCTATAGCTCCATTTAGTATCTAAAGATTTAGTGGATATGGAAATGTATATGGTTGTAAAAATATTTGTTGGAATAAAATATGAGTATATAACGTGTCAAAAATTATGTATCATAAAAATAACGTATATATACAAAGTATATGTATGTTAAATACAAAGAGTATATTTGAATAACAAGACGGTTTTATCGAAAGGTTTTGATCTGTACTTTGTTCTTTTTACAAAGAATATATAGTAATGTTCATATATGTATAATTTTGTTTGTTCCTATCAAATAACAAAATATCCATTTATAAAGTAAAATTTTTTTTTCCTTGGTTTTCTGTAATTTTTCGATTAACAAATATATTTCGTTGACTACTACACAATAATATTTGGTCTACATTCGGAACAATAGTATAATTAGGAAATTACTGTTTTTTATGTATATGTGCTTTTTTGTGTGTTCAGTGTTCCTGTATTTTGTGTTTTATAATTATTGTATTATGTATTGTTCAAATGTGTTGATAACCGCTTTTCGGGTAATTAACCAGTTGGACTCTTGCGGAGCGATCAGTAATGTAATTTTTACAGAAAACCAGAAATTTCCTGTTAGTGTTATCATTTTATACTTTTATACTCTATTATGTAATTTTTTATTATATAAATGTATTATATCTATATTACTCTCACCTCTTATGATATCGCATAGTTTTGAACCTGTATTTGCGCTTTTATAAATAGTCTAAATAAAAATTGTATTTCGTATTTGGAAAACTGAAGTTAATAAAGTAGTAATTAATAAATTTCAGAAGATTAGATAAAAGGGATACAGGCTTTTAGAACTATTATAAATTTAGCTACCCAGTATATTAAAAAAAATTCTTCTAAGGTTAGTTCTTCAATCAGTCCCTCATTAAACTTTGCCCGGAGTCATATTATAACAATCCTTTAAGGATATTTTTTGTATAATTTAAATTTCATAATAAGAAGTGAAAAATACTAAGAGGAAGCTTTAAGGGTACTCTGCCGGTCTTATACAAATTGAAACCAAATTACAAAATTGCACGGGAAGAGACTCCCGCCTTCCTAGCACCACTACAAACCCCCGCTTTACCAAACTACGCTGTTGCCGACTTTTAGCGTGCTTGACAAAAGCTCATACCTATGCAACAACTAATTGTAAAGTTACGCACCGACCTAACTGTTTGCCTGAGAAGCCAGAGATACTAATTCAAGCGTCGGCGCTTCCTATGGCCTCTCAACGCGTTGAAGAGAAATCGGCGCTAAACCGTACGTACATTCCTACATATTAAATAAAGCTATTGACTTAAAGTTTAATGAAATAACAAACTGAGCAAAGCGTTGCAGACAAGTGACAACGGTTGCGACTCCTTCTGGAAATGCTTTTCAGGTGAGCCATTTTTGTAAGCATGCACCACGACCACCATTAAAACGTCAATGCAGTAGTTGAAAGGGATGAAGTGAAAGCGAAACTTTTTAAGTATCTTGTTGCCTAGCGTTCGCCGCCTACCTCCTTAAATGTCTGTAACATCCTTATTCAGATAAATCATTTCTCGGCTATTACAGCGGATATCCTAGTACTGTCTACCACAGATAAAAAAAATAGCACTTTCAAGTGCCACCGCGGCGGAAAGGCGTTAGGACAGTACTAAGTAGATGTTCAAACAAAATTCCTGAAGTAGCTATGGATTATCTGTGCTGAACCATAAACTCGGTGATGTCCTTCGACTTATTCGTTTTTGTTTTTAACGACACCGAAACTGGCGTCTGAGCCTCGCAAGTACATGCCCATCAGTTTTTGCCGGCAGTAGATAACGTGGCTGAAGCAGTTATATTTAATCTTATAAATTTTATAAAAGTTACAATGTAAATTTCGGAAAGGACATTCAAGTATCTAATTAATTCTTTGTCTGACCGAGTAATTGATCCGATTCTTTTATTATAAAAGCCACTGTCTCTGTCTTTCCCGACGTTGAGAAGGCTACTTAACGTGTACGGCATAATGTCCTTACGCAAGTTGTGCATACCTTGGTAATCCAGTCGTCTTGCAGCGGAAGTCTAGCAAGGCTCCCTTCTGCCTCGTCCAGCCACAATCCGCATACGCGAGCCGGACATTTATTTGTCGTTAAAGTCATTGTAATGTTACTTAACTTCTATAGCTTTATCTCGACGAGTTGTCCGCTGGTGCCGTCATTAAGACCTGTCTGTCAACGCAAAAAAAAATCATGACGCTTTTCATAACAAAGAAACGCACTGCGCTGGCTACGCTTTTGATCAATAAATGAAATGACTAAAAAAAAATATATATTAATATTTATTACGAATAGTCATAGAAAAAAAATGGACAGTTTTATGAACAGAAGTTTTGTGCTGCGTAGTTTTTGCGCTTCATTTTGCAGAAGTAGGTATAGTCAGATAAGATCTTACGATGTAAATAATATCATACAATTTTTTTTTTAGTTAAAACAATATATTTTATAGTTTTTCAGTAGCTTAGTCAAATCCAATCGCGTATACTTTCAGTTCTCTCCCCTAAGTGTTACGCAAATATATATCTTTAGGGTTTCTTATTTGCAAACGCAAAAATTGTGTTTTTGCTTGTGACTAATTGCTTACTTTCTTTCTTGATTGTTTGATAACCCTCAACCACACAGGAATTCTGTGGAGTCCTAAGGGAAAATATTTATGGGTCATCACAAAGTCTAAACTTACGTGGTAATCAAGGTTAAGGGTGCAACCTAAACGCTATATCCTTTATCGTGGGGCAAAAGTAATTTTTTCGGGGCGATTTGCAAAGGTTGTGTATTTTGTGCATTCAGTCGATCATGACATAGACACACCTGCCGCCTAAGCCCTTGTTTCGCTAAGAACAGGGTCTTCCAGCCGACGACGAAAAGTTTTTAAAAACAATACCATTGCCCGTTACTCACATATGAATGCACACGTTAATAGTCTTCAACCGGAAGAGCTTACTTACTCGTATTACGGCGGAAGCGGAATGCCGCCCGCATGATTAGATGCTACTTAAAGTATATAATTTTATTCTATATAAAAATTATCCTTTACTGGATGGTGGATAAACTTGTGTTAGTACGCGAGCCCGAGTCTTCGAAATTGTAACTTCGGAGTACAACTCCATTTTTAATTAATACTAAATAAGACACGCACGCTTTTATCCTATACTTAATATCCAATTGATGAAAATTTTATTGTCGCAAAGAACAGTTTATTTTATTACTCACGGTTTATGTACACTATTAACAAAGGGATAGGCTAGTAAGTTGCTTCTCTAAGTCTTGAAACTTTTTATAAGCAGTTTCGCTATAGTCAGAAGCCCAATCCTCGTTGGAGCTTATTGCATTCTTAACTTCAGTTTCTAGCTGAATTTTCATTGGAAGTGGCATGCTATCACCTTTATTCAAATAATAAGTTCTTTCCAGCCGATCCAACAATTTGCGAAATGTATCCTCCATTTCTTTATAGTAAGAAGGAGAGCCCCTCCGTGCGTCAGCTGCAGGAAGAGTTACTGCATGAAATTGCTCCGAAACTTTATCAATTTCTTTTTGCACATTTTTATCGTAACATTTTTGGGCCTTGTACTTATCAAGAAAGGAATAAATAAATTTCAGTTGGTTTTTTAAATTCTTTTTTAGTTTCTCGACGGTTTTCTTAATCGGACTGGTAATATCTTCATTAGAATTTTGAAGCTAATATATAGTAATTAGTTATAAAATTAATGTTTAGAAGTATTAAAAAATTTATAAATTATTTTTCATATAATAATTATAAAAAGTATATTGTAAAAAAATATATTTTTACGCTTTCATGCAGATGGACGTCACAAGACTGCTGTTCAAGTTTATCTTTTAGCTGTTCCAAACTATTTTTCTTTGCTGTTACTAACCAGCGGGCCCAATTTAAGGTCGATTCAGTATCGCTTTCGATTTTCTCATTTAAATAATAAACTAAAGTTTCTTGATCTCTCTTATTCATCGTTCTCCAAAATAAATTTCTTAACTTTCTTTCCAAACTTTCATACTTGTCTTTAACATTTTTTTCAAAAGCCGAAAAAAACTTACCATTAAAATCTTCAGGATCGAAGTCTTTTTTAAATTTGCTAGCGACAAGCGAAAATTCTTTTTCATGTTTAGGATCCATGCAGAATAGATGTTCTCCTTTCTTAAGGATATCGTTGATATACAGCAATTGTCTTTCAAACATTTCTCTAAGTTGGGCTCCCACTTTATCCGTGGCGTTATTAATAAAAAGCCTCAAAGACCTGAACTTCTATTAAAAATTAGCATAATTAATTTACATAAACAATTATGTAATAATAATACTTTTTCTGGTAAAATATCTGGTATACAATGCGGATTTTTGAGTTTCTGCGCCAAATCATTAATTCTTTGGTATATGTGTTTACTATAGTCAGAAGCCCATTCTTCGTTATCGTCAATAGTAGCAATTATTCGATTTCGAATAAGATTTGATAAAGAAGTGTTTCCATAAGAATCATTTATAAAGTTATGCCTAACATAGCGTTCAAGTTTCTTTTTTGTGTCAGCATAGAATTTAGGCATTCGCTTATAGTAAGAAATTTCGGTTGAATTGCGATTTTCAGCAGGCATAGTCAGTAGATCAAACTTTTTATAAATCCTGTTTACTTCCTCTTGGGTACTTTTCGAACCACACCTATTAAAATTTTCTTCTAAAAATTTTTCAATAGGCTTAAAACTTTCTCTAAGATCCTGTTTAGCTCCCTTATAAGTTTCTTCAATGGACTTTATAACCAATTTCTTTGCAGAGTTAACCTAAAGTTCCAATTATTATCCATCATTACTTTATTTCGTTTTATGTTATAAAAAAAAACCTTATCAGTAGTAGAAAATGTTATACAGTCCTCCTGCTGCATCAATTCTACGGTCTTATTCAAGAGTTTGTCTTGTTGTGCAAGTATATAGTTCGTAGCCCATGTATTATATTGCTCACGGGCTTTAGTAATCTCAGAATCTATTTTTTCCTTTTGTGCTTTAGTTATTTTAGCTCCGTTATTAAAATGCTGAACAATTTCTTGTTCAAGAAATGTTTTCAACTTTTTCAATTCTTCAGTAACGTTATTATAAATTGAAGTTGACTTAGCGGGAGCCAACTTTTCCTGAGAAGAAACTTCATCAAAATATTCCGTAAAACTAGAAATATCCTCCTCGGTGTCCTGACTATAGCAGTATGGGACCTTATATTTTTCCTCAAACTCATTAATGAAATTGTATTTTTCTTTAATGATTTCGTGTAGTTTATTATCAAAATTAATAAAAGTTTGTTCAATAATGTGGTCCAATGAGTTGAAATCCTTATATTATTTATTAGTTATACAATTATAAAAATTAAAAATGGCCGGCCCTAAAAACTAAAGAGATTTTTAGAAATACAATTTTTATTTACCAAATATTAAAGCGAATGCTTAAAAAAGTTACTTTAGTTAATACTATACTATAATCTACAGATATTTATATACAGTAAGCAAATAATAATTTTTTATGTAAGCTAATTTTAGTAAAATATATATGTCACAAATTAATTTAATAAAAATCTTTTTACAACTTTTTATTAATATAAATAAAGAGCAGTGCTCTCCAGAAAGGTTTTGCTTTTATTAAGGCCGGCCTCCTTTATTACTCGTCAAAGCATGGCCAGGTGTTCTTACCTTCCCGTTTACTAGCTCAAGAACAACTTCATATCTATTGCCTCTAAATCTAGCTTTTTTCATATCGATGTCATAAGTCGTATCAGGTCCATATTGTTCCACATTAGTAATTGCTAGGCTCCTTGAAATTAGCTTTGTAGCGCCTTTTAGTGTAGATATATTAATAAAAGTTAACAAAAAAAGTTATTGAGATTGTAGGTGATATATAAAATACAAGCGCAAAAGTATTACCAGTTGATTTTGTAATTTTTACTACGCACTGCTCAGTACTAGTAACTCTAAGTTTTTCTGGTTCATGTTGGTCGTTATGCATTACAAAAATTTTAATTCCACAACTATCTCTTTCTTCTCTTTCCAAGTAAAGTTTCCCCAAGTCATCTAGTTTGCAAGTCAACACGGGCATTTCTGTATACTTTGTAATATAACCCACCACAGCATCAACCCACATTGATATAAGAGAATACGTTTTGGACCTTCCATCAACTTTATTTAATCTTAAGTTTGCCTGGTGAAACATATATAGTTCCATTCGATAGTTTAATAACTTTCGCACCACTTCATAACTCTCCCTCCATAAGATTTCTAGGAATGTTAAGTTGCCATGATATCTAAAAGATCCTTCGCACCTATGGCAGTTCGGCCCATACATTGCATTGTGCTCGCTCTCAGCTTCGCGAGGTGTGGAAACATCATAATACAACCGAGTGGGGTTTCTTGGAATTATATAAATCCAGCGCCCATAAGCATCTTTATTAGTGCGAGCGGAAAGAAATCTATTTTTATTAAGCAGTTCCTTGCGAGAATTATCACCAACCACAAACTTAATATTATTATCAGCCATCGCTTCAACAGCCTTCTCATTTTCCAAGCCAGTAATCTTTGGAGTAACAAGAGAGCGATGAGAAAACGAGTCGGCTTCTTCAAACTCTTCCAAAGATGAAGTCCGATACAAAACTTTTTTAGCAAATTCCTTATTTTTTCTAATATCTTCGTAGATTATATCGTAGGAAGCGTTTTCGAGCCTGTGGCCATTGCTATTTGGGCTGTTAAAATCTTGGTGACTATAGCCATGTGAGACCCAATAAAATTCATCTCTGATTTTTAAGCATTCTTGGTTTATGGGGTCCACTTCCTTTTTACCTTCACCGTAGCCGTTTCTTGAAGAAAAATTATGTCATTCTAATTGCGAAAATAAATAATTCTACTACAAAAACTTACCCGTTAAAAGCTAGTTGAAATTTAAAGTTGGATCCTCTAGGTAATTTTTTGTTTAGTAAATTTTTATAGCGGACCAGCTCTCGCAAATCCGAACACGTGGCTCGGTATTCTGGTTCTCCTTCGCGAGCTGGACGACCTTCTTCTACATTGTAAAGCCCAGTACTTAATAATAAGTCATCAATTATTAAGCCCAGATGTAATCTTCTAAGCCCAGTAAAAATTCCACGATGGAGCCAAAGGTACCAAATATCTGCTAATACAAACGAATGATGCCCATACTGGAACACATTTACTGTGAAGTGCATTTCTTC